GTCAGTTGAAGTTGATAGAGGTGGAAGGGAAGAGGTAATTGGCAGGAATATAAAAAGAAGCTACAGCCACAGCAGGCGCTGCAACTGTGCAACTGTTTGACCTCACCTCCAAAGGTATCCTCCTCCATTGACTCACGAGACAGATGGATGCCAAAGCACAACAAAGAAGCAAGAAGTGAGAGTGGGGGTGGAGAACCTTACAATGAAATATTCCAGTGACTGGAATTTGTGGAGAGTAGATATCCCCAATACGTGAGGAATGGGCGAAGTGTCTGGTTCTGAGAGCTGTGCTTTGGATAAACTGGATCACAATTCCTGAAGATTGTCTTTCCACGGGATCAAGACTTAAAAGGCAAGGTGCTCATCTTAAATTAGCTATTGATAAAAAGGGGAATAACATCTTCCTGCAACACAATGTTGGGAAACTGCTTAAGAATGGATGGAACCCTACTGTTTTCTGATAGAGCCACCAAATCTTTTCTGAACTCAAATCCACTAACAACTGAGGGACATGAAGAAGCTGTCTGTTTATGTGTGCAATTGCTGCGTTTTGCGTGTGTTTGCATGACTGATTGTGCATGGATATGAAGGATCTGTTATTGTATGAGAGTCTGTGCCTGCCCAAGAAATTCTTCCCTCTTGCATAAAGCGAGGAGTTCCACTTTGGGGGTTCATCAAAAGAGAATGTTGAAGAAGATTTTACAATCGCCAACTGTAAATCTCAAAGGTGGTCCAGCAAAACTTCCTTCCTTCCTCTGAAATGAAGGCATGGAATCAATTTTGTAGCTCCGGAAACATAGCATAGCTCCTGATAGCCCTGCTTTTTTGTGTCATGATACTCCAGGGGTACCTCTTCTGCCTCATTTCCCCTCCTACCACTGTGTGGCGCTGCTCCTCTGTTCTTGCTATCTCTGTGTGGTTTAAATTTTAAAATTGCCTGCCACTGGAAGTTTTTCCCCTCTTCCTGTCTTTCCCTCTTGCCCCCTAAACTGCTTAGGGTTTCTTACTCAGGATTTCAAAGTACAGTGGTACCTCGGGTTAAGCACTTAATTCATTCCAGAGGTCTGTTCTTAACCTGAAATTGTTCTTAACCTTGAATAGAATCATAGAATCCTAGAATCATAGAGTTGGAAGAGACCACAAGGGCCATCGAGTCCAACCCCCAGCCAAGCAGGAAACAACATCAGAGCACTCCTGACATATGGTTGTCAAGCCTCTGCTTAAAGACCTCCAAATAAGGAGACTCCAACACACTCCTTGGCAGCAAATTCCACTGTCAAACAGCTCTTACTGTCAGGAAGTTCTTCCTAATGTTTAGGTGGAATCTTCTTTCTTGTAGTTTGGATCCATTGCTCCGTGTCCGCTTCTCTGGAGCAGCAGAAAACAACCTTTCTCCCTCCTCTATGTGACATCCTTTTATATATTTGAACATGGCTATCATATCACCCCTTAACCTCCTCTTCTCCAGGCTAAACCTGCCCAGCTCCCTTAGCCGTTCCTCATAAAGCATCGTTTCCAGGCCTTTGACCATTTTGGTTGCCCTCCTCTGGACACGTTCCAGTTTGTCAGTGTCCTTCTTGAACTGTGGTGCCCAGAACTGGACACAGTACTCCAGGTGAGGTCTGACCAGAGCAGAATACAGTGGCACTATTACTTCCCTTGATCTAGATGCTATACTCCTATTGATGCAGCCCAGAAATGCATTGGCTTTTTTAGCTGCCGCGTCACACTGTTGGCTCATGTCAAGTTTGTGGTCAACCAAGACTCCTAGATCCTTTTCACATGTACTGCTCTCAAGCCAGGTGTCACGAGACCTGAAGCCTCTCATTTATTTATTTTTTGCCCAAATGCAATACTTTACATTTCTCCCTGTTAAAATTCATCTTGTTTGTTTTGGCCCAGTTCTCTAATCTGTCTAGGTCGTTTTGAAGTGTGATCCTGTCCTCTGGGGTGTTAGCCACCCCTCCCAGTTTGGTGTCATCTGCAAATTTGATCAGGATGCCCTTGAGTCCATCATCCAAGTCGTTGATAAAGATGTTGAATGAGCTCAGGCTTTCAAGAGATATTTAAAATAATGTAAAGTGTTTCTTTGGCTAATGCTAAACGGCACATATTTTCATACCAAAACAAAAATCACAAACCCTGCAAGCTTTTCCATTTTGGGGCAGCTGAGGTTCCATCACCTGCCATCATCTATGAGATCTGACACCTTTCAATCAATTATCCCATAGATTGAGCTGCTATGTATGTGAGATTCTGTATACACCATAAACTGAAATTACATTATCCGCCACCACAAAAAGTATAGGACGTTTTCTCTGAGTTGCAGATCTCAGCATCCTAACAATCTACATTCCCCACAATTATGAGGCTTTCTAAATTTGACATAAGTTTTTGTGTGACCCTGTTAACTAGTTTGAGCATGGTAAAATAAGGGCAAGGCGTAATTCTCAGTAATAAATAAAGATATTTCTCCCAATTACATGACACAACTATTATTATTACTATTTGTTATTTATTAAATTTGTATACTGCCCTTCATCCAAAGACCTCAGGGTGGTTCACAAAATAAAAATACATAATAGAGCCAAAGCAAAACAAACCAATCACAAACCAGTCCCCTGGTTCTTCCTTCTCTGTAACTTTCTGACCCACATTTCTCAGGAATGTCTTTCTAAGACCTTCGAGTCATAAATTTCCTCCTAAACTAGCTATCTTGATAACCAACGAGCAAAATTCTTCCTGCCATATGATGTTTGAAAACTGAGCACAAATTAAGAGAAAGGGGTGGAGCTCTAAACAGTTTCCAGGGAACTTTGATGACATGTCAGTTCTTTTCTTTTCTTTGTAGTTGCATTTATTTCTGCACATCTTCCAGCACAGAATATTATACCTCTTGCTGCTGCCTCACAAGTATCTGTCTAAAGATTGCTGATCAGCAGTTTCGCCCAGGTATGTGAATTTCTCAAGTTGATGTAGCTCGTTCGCAAAAGCAGGAGGGCAACCATATCTGAGTGGCAGGGGGGGGGGTATGTGTTTTTCAGCCAGCTTGAATCCCCAGAGTCTTCTATTAGAAGTATAACAGGTCAAAGGCTGGGGTGATCCTTTTAGGCTGTGTTTATGGAAGACAATCTTACTCGGCTACAAGTGATCACCAAAGAAGATTCTTTTGGACCTGGTCTACCAGGGCAAAGAGCTGGAGCATATGGGATCCTAGGCTGAGAGGGCACCACTGCTACTTTTAACCTTTACTAAACGAGAAATGCCTCCTGATTCTTTAGTATATGCTGATATAATTTTATTCTTGTAATACATGTGTACAGCTGTGTGCATGTATCTTTCAATAACGGTAAAACTTGCTTAGATGAAAACCACATATCACTTGCAAGTGAATAAGCTCCAAGGACAGGTGACAGGGAAGTTTTATTCTGTATCAAAATCTGATGCCTAATTAAAGTCTCCTAAAATTATATACTTATTTCATAAAATATATGTACTGCTTGATCATAAAAAAACAACCTCAAATTATTTTGTAATAAATGAAATAAAAACGTTCTCTAAGTTTCCTAAAATGAAATTCCATTGAAACCCATTGAAATTAATGGATCTAAATTAATAATGGCCATTGATTTCAGTAGGCTTAGTCTGGGTGAACATTAGCTAAATACAACCCAAACACTTGAATGGCCCTAAATATGCCTAGATTGAAGACTTCGGAAGGACTTCTTGTTGCCCTAACAAGGAGGAAAAAGAGGTGTGATGATATATCAAGAAAAAGAGAAAAGGGGTGCAAAGAGAGAGAAGGAGAGAGGGAGAAAGAGAGAAAGATGACTACTTAGGTTTGGCTGTAGAAGTTTCATAAGAAGCATTATGAATATTTTGATGATTCCAGGCACCATAAATGGAAGCCATTCTCCTTGCTCTCTTTCTCTATGGAAGCACTATTCTGAAAAGTAATCTCTTTGACTTCATTTAGACCCACAAGATTGTTTCAGAACTTCAGCTGTTATGATGGTTCTAGAGACTTATCTGGTTATCCAGATTTAAACAATAGTTTTGTCATTGGATATCAAAATAATAGCACAAATGAGCTAATTTCCCCCCAAAAGCTAACAAAATATATAATCACCAGATAAAAATGTAATAAATAAAGTTGAGAGGACAAATTTTCTCCCTGCTAAATGTGACAGAGTAGATTTCTCCCTAGGTAAAGGTAAAGGGACCCCTGACCATTAGGTCCAGTCATGGCCGACTCTGGGGTTGCGGCACTCATCTCACTTTATTGGCCGAGGGAGCAGGCGTACAGCTTCAGAGTCATGTGGCCAGCATGACTAAGCCGCTTCTGGCGAACCAGAGCAGCGTACGGAAACGCCGTTTACCTTCCCGCCGGAGCAGTACCTATTTATCTACTTGCACTTTGATGTGCTTTTGAACTGCTAGGTTGGCAGGAGCAGGGACCGAGCAACGGGAGCTCACCCCGTTGTGGGGATTCGAACCGCTGACCTTCTGATTGGCAAGTTCTAGGCTCTGTGGTTTAACCCGCAGTGCCACCCAACTCCCTAGATTTCTCCCTAGACAGCAACATCTTGGCTAGAAAGTTAACTACTCTGAGGCCATGAGCCAAGGGAGCTCACCCACATATCCAAGGATTAAGCTATAGATTACACTGTTTCAGATTTATAGGAGCCTGGAATGCTTGGAAGCTTTCGTAATTCTAGTCCTTTGCAGACCCTTCAAGTAGACTTTAATAAGGCTGTTGTCATTTTAATCCCAATCCTTTGTGTCTTGTGTGGGTGCAGTCACAATCTGAGAGGTTGAACCAGCATGGTCTGCCCTGATTCAGGAACGCCTGGATCAATGTCATGGGGCGGATGGTTGTGCACAGCTCTAGTGAACATTTGCCAATCTCTTCTACTTTTTAATAAAGTCATAACTTTGATTTACAGCACTTGAAATCATTCTCATAGTTTATAGTAGTTATTTTATTTAGGTATCCCACCATGGAAGGAAATTCTATACATCATTTTAACATCACAAGGGAACTGGATGTGAAGGACATCTGGTAAGTATATACAATAATAATAAAAATAATAAGGCAGAAAATGCGGCCTCTGTCAGGTTACTAAAAAGAGGATGTGACCTTCGGAATTCCACCCTCCAGATTTATTTTATAGTTTTTTTGTTTATTTATCACATTTATCTCACACCTTTTTCTCTAAAGAGAACGGGCAACACAAGACCAGGGCCTTCTCTGCAGTGGCTCCCCATCTGTGCAATGCTCCCCCCAGGGAAGTTTGCCTGGCACCTTCATTATACGCCTTTAGGCACCAGGCAAAAACGTTCCTTTTTAACCAGGCCTTTGGTTGATCCAATTTACATTCTATGCCCTTTTAAAATGTGTTTTGTTTGGGGGGGGGCTATTGGGTTGTTGTTTTTATTTTTATTATGTATTTTGTGGTTTTATATCCTGATTTTATTATATGAACCACCCTGAGACCCCTGGATATAGGGTGGTATATAAATTCAATAAATTATAATTATTATTATTATTATTATTATTATTATTATTATTATTATTAGCTCATGGTGCCATGCATGGTTCTCCCAGTCCTCCTTTAATCTTAGGGTGGAGTAACGCTCAATCTCTTTGCACATGGAATTCTCGGAATTGTAGCGCCTAAGCACTTTCAGTGCCTTTAACAAACTGCAACTCCCAGGATTCTTTGGGCGGCCATCAATGTTTATCATAACAATGTAAAGGCATGGTGTGGATATGGCCACCATTGACTTGGGAGTTTTTGAAAGAAATGTTGGGAATCAGGTAAGAGACTCACTCAGTGGAAGTTGCTCCCTGTCCCAGTCGCACCCAAATCAATATGACTTTGACAAATGAGGGGTCAGGGTGTTAGGTAGTGTGGCTTGTGTACCCGTTGTGTAGATCATTTGATTGACTGCAGAATAATGATTACTCTTGTTCTCTTTCTTTTTGCAGGTATTGGCATGAAAGGATTACCGAAGTTAAAATTTATGTAAAGGGTATTGCCAAGCAACCAGATGGTCGAGCAATAACAGAAGCTTACAGTGGTTCTGGAGACATACCTGATTATCTTAACTCAAATGAGAGTATCATATTTAGAAATTTAAATAATAGCACAACTGCTGCCTCCAGCATTGTTTTTTCCGAGTTTGTAGCGTCGAATGATCTGGTCTTCTCCAAATTAGCAAAGTATTTAATCAACAGCTTCATTGCCATTATTTGCATTTTGGGGCTTTTGGGTATTGGGTATGTCATCTGGCTTCTTGGCTTCAAAATTAAGAGGAATCTTTTCACCACCTATGTTCTGAACCTTTCCATTGCTGACTTCGCTGTCCTTTTATCTCTAATCAGTACTGCTGCATTTGCTACTGCCCTTCGTGTGACGAGTGAATCTCACATTCTCAACAGTGTTTTTCTATTATTTTTTGAACTCTTTTGCTTCACATATTCCACCAGTCAAGTATCTACTGGCAGCTATCAGCGTTGACAGGTGTGTAGTTGTCCTCTTCCCACTTTGGCATCGATTTGACCGGGGACCAAACTCATCTGCCATCATATGTGCTATAATATGGATCTTCTCCTTCCTGCTTTCTGCAATCCATTTCGCTCTCCGCATGACTGGCAGATTTGGGGCGTCCCTTTTACACTACCAGCTGCTTGTAAATGCTCTGCTTTGTACGCCTCTGATGTTCATCTCTTCTCTGATCCTGTTCATCAAAGTCTGCTGTAAAGCACAACAACGCAAGCAAGGAAAACTCACCACGGCTATCTTGCTTGCCCTCCTTTTCTTTCTCATCTTTGCTTTCCCACTGAATGCAGTTTATGTTAGCTATTGCTATTATTTCCCCCACCTTCACAGTCTCATGCTCATCGGCTTTGGGTGTTCTTCTGTAAACAGCAGCATCAACCCAATCATTTATTTTTTAGTTGGAAGGAGAGGACGGAAGAGTCCTTCCAGGGTATCCATGAGAGCTCCAATCTCAAGGGTGTTTAAGGATGTGGGAGACTGTACAGAAGACATGAAATCCAGAACAGAGATCAAAGTTATGATTTGACCATCTATGAGTGGCATCTTAGCAGGATTCCTACTGTGTGAAATCTTAGATTTCCCAATGGATTTTTATAGGCAGGTCTCACTTCTATCCCTGGGGTTGGTAAAAAAAATAGCTTCTCATTGTGAACCAGCATAGCCATCTTCCTTACACTCCTCTTCTCTGTACCTTTGCTTCTCCAGTGCATGAAGTTTATATAATCAATTAATATTATTCCCACTTTCCCAATCCAATGCTTATTGGTTTCAAGCGTTCCTCTATAAACAGCAATATCAACCGTCATGGAGGGGATGCCAGCTCATGGGTGCTTACAGACATGGGGTGGGATTGTGGGAAAGTACAAAAGTTCTGGCTCTCTGTGATTAAAGAGATTAATAGCACTCTCCTCACTTGAGGTTCCCAGAAATAGCTATTCAGAGGCATCCTCAACGAATGCGAAAACCTTCCCAAAAAGACTTCTAAAAAGAATTCACTAGTTTTGTCAAAATTAATTTGACCCCTCCCAAAAGTAGGTCTAAGAGAGTCATTAACCTATTATTCAATTCCACATCTGGAAAAACCAAGTTGGAAGAAAGGGGATTATGACTTAATATCAGAAATAACTTTCTGACACTAAGAGCTGTATGACAGTGGAACAGACTCCTTCATGAGATTATGGACTCCCCTTCATTGGAGGCTTTTAAGCAGAGGTTGGAAGGTGATCTGTCATGCATGCTTTAGTTGAGATTCCTGCTCGACTAGATGACCTTTGGGTTACCTTCCAACTTTACAGTTCTATGAGTCTATGAACCCAGGGATATATAGAAGGTCTCCATTTCTAGGTCCAATAGCAATGTCTCTGTGGCTCGGTACACACCATACACTGAAACCACATTGAAAGCACATGATGGCCCTCCAAGTATTCTGAGAACTTAACTTACCACTCACAGAGCTACATTTTCTAGTGCCCTTAATAAACTAAAGTCCCCAGAATTATCGGGGTGGGGGAGGATAATGTGTTTTCAATCTACTTTGTGTGATTGCCCAATTTACTGCAAGTGAGTGATAGAGATGTGGTGTGTTTCTTGTTTTTGTATATGTGGATGTGGATGCCTGCTACTGGAATGCAGCTTCCAAAAGCTTTCCACCACAATAGATATTGAGATAGTGTGTGCCACATTTAGCGGGTATCAAGGGAGAATGAGCAGAGTTGTTTTTTGAAGCTGGAGAACTGAGGTTTTTAGAGATGGAAGGGAAAAGGTAATTTCCAAGAACATACCGAGAAACAAGGAATGAGTGAGTGAGGATGGGGGACCTGACAGTTAAGCATGAGACATTTCTGCTGGTTGGTGGCAAAGCATGGAAATCCTGTGAATAGAATTGAGGGGGTCGAGGATCCATATATGTGAATGATGGGATAAGTGAATGACAGCTGGAGTACCAAGGAATAACAGAATGAATAGACTGGCACACCAAGGAAATTCATAAAGCAGAAGATCACCATATAACCTGTAGGCCATGAGCAGAGAGACTGTAAACGGAATTGTAACTGAAAAAGAATGGAATGTTTTTTGCCTTACAAAAGAAGAAAATGAATATGACTGACTAATTATCAAGATCAAAGGACAGAGAAGAATCCAAAACAAAGACAGAGCCCATCCTCCTTTCCTCTAGTACCCACTGATGTTACTGCCTTAGGACATCACCTTGAAAACTCAGGAAAGAAGGGACCTCCATCCAACTTACTGGCTTGCATCAAGATCTTTAGTGAACGTCTTTTTCAGTCTTTTCCACTTTGACAACTAAGTAACAGCATTTAAAATTATTTTGGTAATATATAGCAGTTATTTTATTTTAGATATCCCAACATGGAAGGAAATCCATTGCCTCCGCATAATGTGATGTGGTGGGCATCTGGTAAGTAGATTATTGATGATGATGATGATGATGATGATGATGATGATGATGGTGATGGTGATGATAATAATAAAAAGGCAGAGCATGCAACTGCTATCAGGTTACTAAACAGAGAGTGTGTCCCTCAGTCCTGGATTTATTTACTTATCATTTATTTGTTTCTTTTCCAAAGAGCTCAAGGTGGTGTACATGGTTTCCCCCCTCCTCATTTGAACATCACAACAACCCTGTTTGACAGGTTTGTCTGAGAAGCAAGGTTACCCTGTGAGCTTCAGGTCAAGTGTGGATTTGTCAGTCAAGAATGTCCAGAGTGAGGAATTAACTCTAAATTGTACACTTACAATTTAGTAACATGCCCATCAGTCCTACGTTTCTTAGCTAACTCTGGGTGTACACCCGACAAGACTGCTTCTGCAACCAAGAGGCCCCACCCTCTCTTCTTATGCATCTCCCCCATCCAAGTTGTGCACAAGCAGGTGAAGATTCCAAGCAACCTGTTTTTGTTCCTCCCTCTTGCCCTGGGAGACAGTGGAGCAGGAGAGGTGGGGGGAAGCAGGAGGAGATGTGGAAAGCCTTGACTCTATACCAACCTCACCTATCTCTCACTTCTTCTGCACCTGTTTTTCTCTCTCCAAACCTGCAGCTTCACCTGCTTCTGACTCTCGTCTCCTGGCTGTTACAGGGACCCCCAGATCATTGATCCCTTCTTCCGTGTCAGTCGCTAACCTCCGTTCTCCCAGCGCCCATTCACCAGTATCCACTGTGTAACCTCTGAGGAAGCCAGGAAAGCACCTTCTTGGTCAAAGTGACTTATTTACCTGAAACAAAAAATGGGTGCTGAGGAGCAACTATTGGCCCAGTTGATGACAAGCCAAAAACACTTTCTGAAGAAACTGAAGCACTTCCCTATTACAGCAATTCTTGGTATCCCCTTATTGCATTCTAAGAAGAGGACAGCAGTTGCCTTGAATAATACACTGATATGAAACCTGCTGATATAAGATAAGGGAAGTAACACAAGAAGCAAAACCAACGTTTTCTTTTCTGCAATGTGGCAAGAGCAGAAATACACATCAACAGCTTCCATAATGTGCCAGCCTAGGGAATACATTTCTTTATTGCTCAGTTTTATTTCATTACTACATTCTTATATTTCAGAGTTTGTATATCTTTATCATACAGAGTGTGTGTTCCTGGCATTGGACAATCGGGACAGATTAGGGCTTCTGCTGGTTTACCACCCGCCTCGCTGCCCAGCAGTCTCCCTGCTTGAGCTGACAGAGCTGGTTTCAGAGGTGGCATTGAAGATTTCCAGACTGCTGGTTCTGGGAGATTTCAACATCCATGCCAAGGCAGCTGGCTCTGGGGCAGCTCAGGACTTCATGGCCTCCATGACAATCATGGGGCTGTCCCAACATGTCAGTGGTGCAACGCAGATGGCAGGCCACTCTCTGGACTTTGTTTTCTTGACTGGGAAGAAAGAGGGTGACTTGTTTGCAAAGCATTTTGGAGATAAAATAACTTGCCTCTACCAAGACTTTGACTCTGCTGCTATAGCAAATGAATTTCATGGGGTGTCCAGAGCATAGTCTAGTCCTATTGTGTTAAATGAGTTTCAGTTGGTAAGGCTCAAGTATGTGGACAAGGTGTTCGGATTAGTCAGCGTGACCACTTGTACTCTAGACCCATGCCCCTCTTGGCTGATAAAAACCAGCAAGGAGGGAACAGCTGGCTGGTCCTCTTTACGAGAGGGGGTCGTCCCTGCCTGTTTGAATGAGGCAGTGGTAAAACCACTCCTTAAGAAACCTTCCCTGAATTTGGAAATCCTAACTGACTACCAGACAGTTGCTAATCTCCCTTTTCTGAGCAACGTTCTGGAATGAGTGGTCACAGACCAGATCCAGGCATTTTTGGAAGAAACTGATTTTCTGGATCCATTTCAATCAAGGTTTAGGCCCCGTTTTGGCACAGAAACTACTTTGGTTGCCCTGTTTGATGACCCCTGTTGAGAGAGAGAGAGACAAGGGAAACATGTCCCTGTTAATTCTTATTGACCTCTCAGTGGCTTTTGATAGCATTGACCATGTTATCTTTCTGAAGCGACTGTCCGAACTAGGAGTGGGTGGTACCTCTTTGCGGTGGTTCCAGTCCTACTTGGATGGTCATTCCCAGAGGGTGTTGCTTGGGAAATGCTTTTCAGACCCATACAATGTGGGGTTCCATGAGGCTCAAGCCTATCCCCCACATTGTTTAACATCTACATGAAACCACTGTGGGGATATCTGGAGGTTTGGAGTCCACCTATTCCAAACTTTTTAATTCCAACAGACCTCTGATTGGAATTGTGCTGTAAGTATATCAAACCTATGGCTGCTGAGTGGCAAACACCAGCAAAATTTCAAGTGGCAGGAAGTTACAAAGCTGGGCTGCCACCATCACAAAAGATAAGCGTCATTATCCAATTTAAAGATCTAGACAGATATTTCAGATTGTAGTACAGTGGTGCCTCGCAAGACGAAAAGAATCCGTTCCACGATTCTCTTTGTCTAGTGGTTTTTCGTCTTGCGAAGCAACCCTATTAGCGGCTTAGAGGATTAGCACTATTAGCGGTTTAGCTGCTTAGCGGCTATTAAAGGCTTAGTGGCTTAACTGCTAAAAGGCTATTAGCGGCTTAGTGGCTTAGAAAAAGGGGGGGAGCGGAAAAAAAATCGCAAGACTAGCAAGACATTTCGTCTTGCGAAGCAAGCCCATAGGGAAAATCGTCTTGCGAAGCAACTCAAAAACGGAAAACCCTTTCGTCTAGCGGGTTTTCTGTCTTGCGAGGCATTCGTCTTGCGGGGCACCACTGTATCTGCTATTTGTGGGTGAGGGGATAATGACCGCTCCCCGCATAAAACGGGGGGCGACCTTTGCGTGGACGCGAGCAGCCCCTGGATCTGGAGCGGCTCCATCAGCATAGGCTTGGCTTCGCCTTCCCTCAGGTGGGATACCTGGAGGTCTCCGCCTACCCCAGTCAGCTGTCCAATCCCACCTGGGGGAAGCGTTGCCAAGGAGATCAGGCCAGGTAGGGGAGGGATTACCTGCCCACACAATAGAGGGAGGATCTT